ACATTCACAGCCATTTACACATGCAGGCTATCGCAGTCAGTAATCACCTCTGTGTCTGTAAAAAGAAGCAAACTGAACCTTTAGCTGTGCTGCTGGAAAGACTTGACCCTGGGGCTGCAGCATTGCTGGCTGCCTCTGTGGGAGCGCTCAGCGGAGCTGTGCTGTGGAACAAAGGGAGCTGGTCCACTGAGCTGGACTACTGTGTGCCGTGATAAGCCCGCCCAGACTCACACCAACAAGTGACCTACTTAGAGAACCTCTGTTCTCATTGTTGTTGAACCCGGGGGATACACAGATGGTCAAATTGACCACACACTCACAGACATGGTATGAAATGAACAGCCGTGTTTACGTAGCTGCTCCTTTGCAGCTACGTAATGATGATTGACAGGTTTAAAAAACAATTCATTTGATTTCATACAGTTCATTTTGCTGATGATGTATGCAAAACACACCACAAACGTTAGAGGCTCCTATGATTTTTGAGAGGAAGGCGTGCTGTTTACAGAGTTGTCATGACGACACCAATGTGACGATGCCTCGCTGGGACGGAAATGTCTGTCAGCCTGACTGTGTCGGCCGTGCAGCTACCATGGCAGCCTGTCAAGCCATTCATGTGCACCGCTACTTGAAATGTTCCCAAGTCGAGGGAGAAGTAGAGAGCTGGAGGGTGGTGTGTTCGTGAGTCAGAAAGGGGGGGTGGGGGGTGCTGATGCAGTATTTAAACACGCTATTAGCAATCAAAAAAATCCCAAGAGTTCAAGCTGATGATCGGTGTTTCCATTTGTTTTTTTTTTTAACCAAATAAAGGAGACTGGAAGACTGACATAACACTTTCTGCATCAATGTACAGTGTGTCCACACAGTAAAAAAAAACAACAACATGCGGGGCATTATATAGGTTACCTTTCCTAAAACTATTTCAATCTATTCCCACAAGCATGACTTTAGTCCCAGGCTTAATTAAAATGCTTAATTATCCTCTCTGTGAGACAACCTAACATAGGCAGGCCTGTAACAATTTTTGGGTTCTTATTGAAGCTGTCACCTCTGGGTACAGGGAGCTGTTTTAAACGCTGATATAATTAAACATGCTGAATTAAATTCCAAACCACAGCTTGATGAGGTAATTTGAGAACTCAAGGTGTCAGAGAGGGACAGGAAGGGACGGGAAAGTGGCAACCGGATTAGGCCCCTGTAGGACACTTTGTCCCAGTGGGACGTGGCACAGCCGCTGCCATCTGCAAGGGATACACAGGCGGAAGCAGGCTGGGTGACAAAGCTCTGGGCAGGAGGTAGGGCGAGGGAAACAAAGTGAAGTATTTTTAAAGTTTGAAAGTCAAATACCGGTAAGTAAGTAGTGTTACTACTAATGTTTGAAATATGTAATTAAATATTTTAATGAGAAACACAGGAACACCCTGGTGTTCTCATGCTGTTATGCTGCACTTCTATCCTAAAGTTAAGCCGATACGAGCAATTGATTCGTTTTACAGAAACAAAGATGATAATCAATGAATACCAGTTCTTCAAGCAACAGTTTCCAACACCCAGTAATCATATGATCTCGAATGTGATCTTTACATTGAAAAAAATAAAAGGTTAATTCATACTGTTAGAACTTGATTTGTTAGACAAATGTCTTCTGTGTGTACATTTTCATCCTTTTCTGGGTTATAAGTGAACCACAAGTTCTTATTTACTGACAGTTAGTATTAAACAAAAGCTTTTTTACACTAGTTCCCTAAAACCTGTTTGAATTTAACCTGGTGCATATGGACGCATACATTAATAACTACTCCACCTGACTGAGGTAATGCTGTAAAATACAGCATCTCCATTGTATCAATGTTAACTTTACTTCACTGGTCAATCTGGATATTTCATCTCTCTAATATATGCCATACCTTTCAAGTCCTTCATGGTTACAAGGTTCTGCCCATGTCAGAGACACAAATATGCATCATCTCCACATTACTGCGGATTATGCATCTATAGCTACCACTGTGTGTGCCCTGAAGACTTTCATGACCCAGTCTAATAAAATATATAGTCTCTTTGTTTAGAGGGGCTTTGTGAGAGATGCATATGTAAAGGTACTGTTTTTAGGCTGATGGCAAAAGAGGAAAGTATATGTTATATATGTGTATATGAACCAGTTTTCTGGTTCCTGAAATATTCAGTCTACTGACTGTGGGGCCGTTAAGATTGCAGAAATATAGATAAAAATATATAGAAATATATATATAAAAAAGTATTTTAAAATGTTATTCCTTATTTATTCACATATAACCAAACTTCCTAGTCTTCCTACTTAGGTAACCTGAACCCTGAACTGCTAATGTATGCATTATTCCTATATCCCTAAGTGCTGTTATGTAACCATCTCTGTGTTTTTCATTGACTTTGTGAATCAATAATTCTGGCCTCGTCAATCATATCCGCTCACACTGCAGACGCAAAAAAAGCTTGCTCCATCGGATGCAGCCTGTGGAACAGTACAGAGTATAATCGGTGATGACAAATGGCTTGTGGCAAGGATGCACTAATAAAATAAGTAAACAGGGGGATGGGGGGACAAAAGAGAGAAAGGGAGATAATCAGCTGAGGCTGGACGGGAAAGCCTTCTGCAGTTTCTCTACACTGCGGAGCCCCCTGTAGTAAACCTGGGAGTCCACCGTGGCCTTGCCTGCTGGTGCAGTGGTCTATTTCTGACTCTGCAGCTGGGTCCAAGATGCTGCACCTATTCCTTACAAAATCTTGTCTCTTGACATTTCATGCTTTTGTTTTCAATGCAGGGGGTTGATCACATCTGACACCTCTAATGGCTCTGGAGGACCAGCTGGACAATCAGCAGTTCACACAGAGGCACAGTCTTTTCCTTCTCTCTCTCTAACACCATGCATATACTGTGCTAAATTAAACGTTCTCTGTACAGAGGCCTGGGAGCTACAATTTTCAAGTCAGCCTAAAATAGCCCAGAGAGCTCAGCACTGGATATTAACTGCCCGAAGCTTTGGATTCTATGTATGCACATGAGGATCTAAAGCATCTATGCAAATGCTTTGCTAGGTGTGAGTATCTAAATATCCCTGCTGTTTTGACTCTGTGTATGACAGCAGTGTATACGGACACAGCACATACATGCAGATAGCTGAGGTAGTGACAGAGCTCTGTTCCACAGCCGCAGAGGGGAATACAAATCCAAGTCGTGGATGGAACGACTCCTCAATGCCACTTGCTGCCTTAGCATGACGCGAAGCAGGGGAAGGACATGCATTCGCCATCTATGATGAGTAATGTCATTATAGACAGAGGAGCTAAACAACTAGCTAGACATGTTTGGGGCGAAGCAAAACACACATGTTTCTGTATGTGAGTCTGCACACTCACAGTCTGTCCACCTATCCTGCAGCAACAACTGGCTCGTGCCACGTGCAGTGAGTAAGCTCCAGCTCTAGCTTGCTGTCAGTGCCTTGTTGCTACAGCTGCTGTTGGCTGTATGTGCACATCTGCGTGCGAGTAAATGTGTGTGTGTGTGTTTGTGAGCAGATTTAAGTCAGGCCAAATGTCATACCAAGAGCAAAGATCCATACACTGCGGACACCGTCAAATCCTGAGCAATCTCCCTCCTTCCCCCTTCCCTTTCTCACAGACACACAAACATGTGCGCACATATCCTGTCTCTCTTCTTCTTCCTTATTCCATGTCTTCTGATTAGTAAGTAATCAACAAACCCCACACTGGATTTCTTTAATACATTGATGAGTGCAGATATGTCCTCATCCCACTGATATTAATAAGAACTGCATGTCCAGAGTCAGCTCCTGATTTATAACCTTAATAACAAAATGGAGTGATAGTGGTATGGAATGACCTGCAGGTCGCACTGTTTTGCCTACAAAGCAGATTGCTCCTTGAAGGATGGAGAATAGTGTCATAAATACTGACAGTAGTGAGTTTAGTGCTCAATCATCTCAGTGATAAATGGGAAACAGGCAACAGATCATAAAGACATCAATAGCATGTGCAGAAAAGAGCAGAAAAGAGATGAAAAAGAGAAGAGACGCAAGAAAACAGAGATAATAAAAGAGAGACATTAGGAAAAAAGAAGAAGACGTCCTGCAGGAAAGAGAAGAAGTCCTCATGAAAGTGAGAAGGAAGGAAGGAAGGAAGGAAGGAAGTGGGACGCACGTTGCCGAAACTGCTCCCCCTCCAGTTTTTTTTCTTCCTGCAGTGTGCCGTAATTCGTCTCTAAAAATATCAAGCAAGAGGAGGAGGAGGAGCATAAACAAACACAGGGGGAGGAGAGGATAAAAAGATGGACGATAGAAGAGTGCACGGGGAGCGCACAGTGCAGCAAGACAGGCTAGAAAAGAAAGTGAGAGTAGAATCACTTGCTGGTGCTGAATCTGTGTGTCTATGTGTGATAAGGAAGGAGCAGGAAAACAGGCAGGGGGGAAGGCGAGAGCGAAAGCCGCGGAGAGACCGAGGGAGCATGTGCATGCTCTTTTCCAGGCAGCCACGTGAGTGTCTCTCCTCAGCTGCTCCTTTCACACTGAGCCAGCCAGAGGGGAGAAGAGCAGGGTCGCTATAGTCACAGCGGGAAAAGCACGCTACACCACACTGGCCCCACCGGATGCATACGCTCTGGTCACAGCTTACTGGTCCTGATCTAGCCCTCATTACATGCCAGTTTCTAGCGATTTACATAAGGGTGTAGAAATACACAGGTGTTAGACAGACGGATATGTGCTCGATTTAATAAGCACAGCTAAATAAACATCCATCAAGCCTCATTAAAGAGAATGTCATCTTAGGATGACATATGTTATTAAAGTCACAGAGGACAAAATACCAGAAAATAGCCCAGACATCTAGATGCTGGACTGGGTTGTGCTTTGCATTCATGACAGCCTCACGGCTATTTGGGGGAGGAAATAACGGTAACATTTCAAACACACACATTCGGAGTGCCACATCTCCTTGTCTTTTCTTACCAGGCGAGCTTGAAGCCTTTCATTAGTACAGCGAGGAGTGTCTGATATCCATAGCGTGTTGTGGGCACTGGGCTGCCCGTTCACACCGCCGCATGCTGACTGACAGCCTGCCAGTGCCTCACCTCCCATACACAGACCAGGAGAGATGCACAGGGAGAAGAAGGGAAGAGAGACACGCACAGGCTGACGGATGGTCGGGAACCGAAGTCTGGATGGATGATCCTCTCGGCTTTCTCCAACCTCTCTGCTACATTCCTTCTCTCGGACCAAGATGCCGCAGTGCTGAGCACTTGTGCCAGAAATTCACACCTCCCTGGGGTTCCTCATTTTTCCCAAAAGAGAAGGAGGTGACCTGCACTGCAACATTCGCAAAGCAAGCTGCAGCATGCAGCAGAAGCACGAGGGCTAGTGATTGCAAATAAAAGCCAACATGGCTAGTTGCTGCTCCTTTCTTTAAAGCCTGGTCGGCTTTCAATCAGGCTCGCACACTGTCGCTTCGAGCTTCTGTTCGCTCACTCTAACTCTCTCTGCCTCAGCCTCCGCTGCGGATGAAAGCTGCACTTGCTGTGCTCACTATGAGCAGGCGCAGGATCTCTACCCTCCCTCCCCCTCCCTCCTGTTCTCTCTGTCCTTTTCCCTAGATGGCTCTCTTTCTCTATTTCTCTCCAAGATAAGCATAACTAGCCTAGCAGAGAGGGCTAGAGCAGGGTGGTAGGCTCGTGCCACAACATCCTCTTTGCATTTACCCCTGTGCTCAACTCCGACTATACAAGAACAGCATTATTTGAGGGAACCTGCTGCAATTCTTTCCTCTCGTACTCGTCTCCACCCCTGATCTGTGTCAGCGGCTAACCCTGTTAATCTCTTAATGCATTGAGTGTAGTGGGGTACTTGTGTTTATAGCTATGTGGCCTGCACACATGATGAATCCGATGGCCTTCATGGTAACTCAGTTTGCTTAGTTGGCTAGTAAGTGTTTTATAACTGCAGTAACTTGACTTTAAATCAAACAGCCCTAATTGGTGGGGGGGATAGTTCTGGGTGCTGGGTTCATAAGTCTGTCAGCAATAACTGCCCAGTCAACAAATAATGGGAACTATCCAACGTAGCCAGTGAGTGTATTATGCTGTTATTCTAGTTTTCCAAAAAATTTGTAGTTTTATTTTTAAATACACTGTAGAGAAGTGCAGTGTTTGACATTTATTATACCTACACGTGGCTTTTTTAGCAGCAGCTTCTGCTAAGCTAAAGCAACAAACCACTCAAAAAACTAGAGTATATTTAAGTTATGGGAATTTATGATTCCATTTGCTCATTATTTTTCAGGCACTGGTGCGTGGTAGTAGTAAAAGCAAAAGCTTTTAATTAAATTACCAACAAACGGCGGGGACATTTTGAGGATATTTGAGAAAAAGGGTGATTGGTCCCCTTCAGAATCATATGTTATTATTTCCGCCCCGTTAGGCTTAGCGCATGAACATCATAACACTGAGCTCAGTGAGGTCAGTCATTTTAATCTTAAACTATATCAGTGAGCAGCAGGTTGACGATCTATAAATGATAACTCAACTTTCTGAAGAAAATATCCAGAAATGTGGAGTGACAAATCTGTCTCGCTCATCTTTGAACTACAGTCTGTGCCTCGCAACCATTGAATGGCTGTAAAATATAGCAAAGGCCACTAATACAAAAAAAGGACACATAAACAAATGGCTGAGTATTTCGTGCTTTCAAGTTTGCGGTCCACTGAACACAGAAGTAGCCGTTTATCTCTTCCCTGGATCACTTGAGGCCACAGGGTTCAGAGAGCAGCTGATCATTCACTTTAACAGAAGCTGTAATCAAAAACTATGACTGACTTTAGCACCGACGCTGGGTGAAGGTGCAGCCCATTCTTCCTGTTTAATCTTCTTAAAGCACTGCACACGAATTACACCTCATTAGGGGTGACTAATACCATAACAGATGCAACACACACATGCTCTAAAGATCTAGAATAACAATTCTAATAATTTCCTCAATTATTAATAAAGTACTCTGATTCGAATGTAGACCTCTTATTTTACTGAAACGTGTTTGTTTTGGAGAGATGTCTTTTTCTGTTGTTTGAATACATTTGTTTTATTATCACAACCTATGGTTAAACTGTGTAAGCAATTTTATTAAAGCACAGTTTCGTTATAATAAGTTATTATTGAACTCAGCCTGAGCCACTGACCTTCAATCACTCACTTTGATTTCTAAAATGTAGATGTTGCCACGTGAGTGAGCACATGCCTGACCAATAAATAAAATGATAGCACGCAGATAATACAGATAAATTGAGTACTTCAGTCTGCGAATAACATTAATATGCTCCAGTCACAGCCAGTAGGCCAAAGTTAAAGACAGTTCTAAGCCAACACCTCGCTACACACATAGAAAACTCCTGTGTTGCTATAATGCTGCATTAACGCCACAGAGATTTCTGATTAAAGTATGAGCCGTGGCAGCGGAGTATAACAACTCATCTATTTATGGCAATGCAATCATGCTCTGAACTGTAACAAATCAGAAGTTATATGTAGGAGAGAGGGAACAACATCATAATCTACTCAGATGTGAGTCTAGAACTTGTATCTCTATATCGAGTATTTGGGAACGCATATTGTGTTAAATCCGTTAACCTTCATCGCTTCTAATATTTAACACGTTACTTAGCAGGTATCTGTGTCTACATCATGCACCCATACACCGTCTCTGGATGGAGCTTGCTAACTGGTGGATTACTGTGAGTGTATGTGGTTGCTAATGCACACATTAAGAAGTGCTGAATAACATAAGCATGCAAGATTTTTGAAAATCTATATTTTTTTGCGGTTTTGTGAATGATACTGAGCTGCTATACATTATTTTACAGTAGTCTGGCAAATAATTTCTAATGTCTATAATATGTCAGCAGCATAAATTCATCTTTGCACATTTGAGCATGTCTTATCTCAGAGGATTGCAAATTGTGCTCCATGACTAAAAGAGGAAATAGACAGCAGCTGCTCACTCTCAAAAGGCCCCCAGACCCCACTGTGATTACTTTTATCATGAAAAACTCTCACGGTGACAACGCTCAGTGAGTGCAACTTTCATCGCTTCACCAGGAGTGGGCAAGAGCAGACAGATGGACAGCCTCTTTCTCTACTGTTAGCCAGCATTTGCAGCTAATGTGAATGCAATAGGACTGTGGAGAAAGGGGCAAAAAGTGAGGAAAGGAAAAGAGGGAAGGAAGTGAGGTGAGAGCACTCTAATCGCTCTCCCAGGATAAAGCTGTGAGAGCTTGAACTTCATTCAAATAAAAAGACTCATCTCACACAGTGGCCATATGGTGCACACCTTATTTTAGACTGCTAAAAAAAAAACCAGGGAACTAAATAAATAAAAGAATAAAAATAATGAAAAAAATAATGATGTGAATATGTTCCATGTAAGATTAGTGGTGGTCATGATTTCTGGAAAATTCCAGGGAGTCTTTCACAGATTAGGGAGTGAGATGTCACCTGCCAAGGCTTTCAGTCTTTAATGAAAGCAGAACCCAGCTATTGTAAAGCAACTGCAACATGGAGCATGCATTGCTCATTTCTGTCACTATCACCAGATGGGTCTCTGTGACATTTTACTAGTTCTGCTGCCTTTGTAAACTTCATTGATTTTTCTATATCACAGGTTTCTTCGTGTGTATCTGTAGTTTGAATCTTGACAGGGCTTGAGCTCAGACACAGGAGACACGGGTGCTGAAAGGACAGCTCCTCTGGTGAAGACTCAAACAGTCACTGACTGTTTGACTCTCACCGACGCCACCTGCTGGTCACTGAGTAGCTGAGTCTTCTGCAGAAAAATATTTGTTATGTTCAGATAAAGTGTTATTATAAAAGTATTCAATATGGGATCAGGAAAAATGACTTATTGTCAGGATAAACTCTAAAATAAACTTTAAATGTTAAATAAATAATGTGTTCAACATTTCCTTTTTTCACCCAAAGACATAAAATTTTATGTTTATTTACACTAATACAGTATTTTATTGAATAGGCGTTACGGATAGTAGGTCCTTGTAAGTCTGCAAAACACTGGTCATGTGATTTCTCAGCTTCGTTTTTAGCATTCCTTGAACCATAATCTGATCCAGAGATTTTTCATTTATATCTAAGAATAGCATTGGCAGATAATCTGCATTAATCCCTCTACACTGCCTTGTGGGATTGGATGGTGTGGTGAGTGTGACTCACTCATTCTGCCCGCAGGGCATTTCTTACTCTGAAGCTGAGAATGGATTACTCTCGCACTGGTTTCTGTCAATATGGATGACCCTCCCACGTTCATCTTTACTCTGTGACCACAGAGGGGGAATTGGTGGTCACGTGACCAGCTGACAGTTTTGTTTATCGATTAACTGACCATGTTGGATAATCTGAGTTCCCAAGGTCACAGCGTGGGGAGAGAGAGCACACTTTTACAGCTCGCAAACACAGGCGTACATCGTATATGCACGTGGGTACACATCAACAATAGCATTTCGTTGTAGTTTGCTGTTTGAAGGAAGAAGAAAAAAGACAAACAGATACAAACATTATATTTGGAATAAAACGTCAGTATGTGAACTCAAACGTTACTAAACGTTCATGATTATAATGTGAAGAGGAATGAATAAAACACTTAAGTCACATGAGCGATGTTGAGATGAGATGATGACACAGCGATGCAAGCTGACATGCACGACTAACAGAAGCAACAGATAAGCCGGGGACACAGCCAACGTCTCACAGTAAGAATAAGTCTGAACAGATGCAAACATCGGACAACAGCACACAACAAACATCAGCTCAGGGTGGCTTAGTGAAATTTAATATTCTGTTGAAAACACACAAGCAGCAGGCATCGCACCGAGGAGGACAAAAGAGACAATATGCAGACGGCCAACACTGACATAAAAATAAAAGTAGTGTAAGGAAAACCAGACTGATCCAATGGTAAAATATGTTTATGTTTAATGGCAAGAATCAAGCAACACTGCAAAGTGACAGTCGTCACGTTCAATATCAGGTTGACCCACAAAGTGATAAAGTAAAGTACAGATGGCCTTCTGCCTGCTTGGCACGTGTGCCATGAATAAAAGAACAAAGTACTGCACGTGCTGACATTAAAGCACTCTTTAAACCCCCCCCCAAAAAACAGCCTTCCACTTCCTGTTTCTGCTGAAACAAGCAAGATGGAAATGGGTCGATGTTTCTTTTAAAACAAACCTGCAACGCACACATCCATAATTACTAAACAAAGACGAGAAAAGGAGGAGAACGGGATTTTGGGATTAAAAACCTAAACAACAACGTGGGTGTAGGCTTGAGGATTAGTAAGTAGACAACACATTATAAACAGTAACATGGTAGCTGGAGTCTGGTAGAGTTGTAGTTCTTTTTCTTTTATGATCTAAATCTGGATTTTATCCATAATTTCATTTCAAATCATTTCACTGTTCTTCAGCAAAACATAGTGAAAAATAACACCAGTTTGAATATTTTATAAATAGCCCCAAACACATGGAAATAGCCTAGTTTGTAAGGTAACAGCTTTTAAACAATATGGGTAGACTAGTCCAATTTTTTAGCTTCAGTAAAGCTTAATCGTGGTTTTGAGATATTGGCCTTCATTTACAAACATGTGCATGGAAACTTTCCTACCCTGCACAAAAAAGTGTGCACGCAAAATTATGTGCATACCAGCCTATTTTGTTCTTACCACTGTGCACTTGTTAGTACATCAGATTCATTCTGAACCAACAGTGTTGTGCAAGCTACATATATGTGAAGCAGACTAGCAGAACTAAAACTATTGTGTCCAAAGAGGAAGTCAGAGAAGACAAAGGTTACAAAAGTGGTTCCATGGGAGTAATGAGAGTAAAAACAAAACAAAACAAAACAAATAAAATAAAATAAAACAAACAAATGAAAAAGCATGGCTCAGGCTAAAATAACAGAGGATCTGAGGATCTTTTAAAATTAAACAGATACTGTGGTAGTAAAAAACAAAAAGTGAGAAAACGAAAGGTAAGAAGAGACTAACAGACTACAAGTAAAAGAAGAAAACAGGTGGAGGACAAAAGAGTGCGTGATCTGTCAGTTGGAGATGAGAAACTCCCTGCAATAGGGGAAAAGGAAAATCCAGTTTCTCCAGCTTCCCTGGGATAGTGCCAAAAAATTAGACTATTAGACAATAGACAATTTAACATAGGGTGAGATCAGATAAGGAATACTGGAATAGATTTAAATGAAAAGATAAAAGTCTACATGTTTCCTTTTAGTGTTTGGTTTTCTGATATTCAGTGTTTTTTTGCTTTATTTAGTTGCAATTCTAAGCACTTTGTGGTTTATGGTCTTTTAGGCAGCATTGAAAAAATGACCAAAAGGCAACAACAATAACAATAACAAGAAAATACTAGTAGCAGCATTCCTGTTGAACACTTAATACTTTGCATGTCTTAAGCCTGCCACGCCTTCACTGGTCAGAGGGACATTTTTTGGGGAAAATAAGAACAAATTTTGGTCTGAAAAAAATATTGATAAATCATTGATTTGTGTGCAAAAAACCTTTAAGCGTGATTTGTGCACAGATCTGGGCCCATTGTACTTCTTGATTAACTTTTCATAAAATTGATCGATGGCAGCTCCACTCCCACTAACAGTGTGAATGGAGGACATCTGATGGTGTCACTCAGTCATTCCCATCAGTAAAAATTATATATTTCCTCAGGTCATTACTGAGAGTGTTTCAAACATCTTCAAATTGCAAACTGACACCTTGTAATATATTTATGTAATATATTTACTACTAACTAAACTACTGTGCTTGGTCTTCAATCTCCTTCCCGCTGTAAGCTGCTAATGATGCTTAAAATGATTTTAGCAGCCACTGTGTGAGCTCTGCTCGTCTCCCATCCTGAGTACTTTAAGAAGATGCTTATGATAAACTTCAATGCTGCTTCATTTATTGGCAGCCTCACTCATAAAATTGTGGAACGTGATACTGATATTCAATCTTTTTGAAAACCCCTGACTTACACTTTCTTTTTTCTTGTGTAGTTTATAAAAAAAAAATAATATATATATATCTTATATCTCTTATGGATCTCTATATGTGTTTAGAACGGAGAAGTGCCTCCAACCTAAATTTTTCTTTTTAGGGATTATCTATCCATCCATCCATCCATCCATCCATCCATCCATCCATCCATGGTACAGCTGACTAATGGATGGAGCAGAAAAAGCATTTTAGCTTGGAAACTTATGCTAACACATGATGTTAAAATACACCTCTTTTGGCTGAAATGCAGCTACCTGGCAACTTTTAAGAGGCTTTTAATGAAGTGCATTGACCTTTGAAGGAATAAATTGCGTGAGAGGTCTGAAACGCTTGACTTCACAAATCGTGACTCCTTGAGGTTCAAACAATTGAATTCACTAATCATGATGTCATTTAGTTACCAGCAGAAAAAAACAGAAAAGTGTAACGTCTACTCTCTAATGCACCACATCAGTGACTCATCACTTCCATGACCCTGAGCTCCTCAAATACACAGATGCGCCATTCAGAAAAATGATGTCATGACACAGATCGGGTTTCGCTGATCTCTCCAGATCTAGTCCACATCCAGTAGTGTACGGTATAGGTTTTAGCTGCTGCTGTAACACTGCATTGCTGACACTTTTGTCTAAGGACAGAAATGTCAAAGAGTCGTCTGGGGAAGCCGTGCTTTCCATTTACTGGAAAGTAATATTTCATTATATATACCCAAGATTAAAGTAGCTCTGTTCCTTTTTTTATTATCAGTACTTGATTTGTTTTGGTATGAATATCAAAAACCTTCTCACTGTCACCAACATCTTTCTTTGTGTCTGTGTATGAAAAAGGTCCAGATGACCTTGTCTTTAAGAAGTGAGAAATGCCGTGGTGTGGACGCCAGCACAATCAGATGAGGTTTTGTCAGAGAGCTCATTCAACATTGGAAACACTCAGAGGCCCCAATGAGTGAAAGAATAACCCATCTGTGTCTTCATGCTCTTGCTCATGTCCTTGCTTGGGTTTAACTTAACTTGAAGTCTAGTGTCCACCCTATGATGGCGTTCGGTCTACATTAGCGCGTTTATCAGTGGTATTTAAGTGCCAATGACGTGCAAACACTCGTCCGCTCTGAAGCAAAAGCTTGAAGGCTGAGTGAGGGATGCTATTTTTATATGAAAGGACTCTGGCTATAGAGCAGTGGCGAGATAAGGTATTGGGTGAAGAGATATTGACTGACCCCTCCCCGACAACCCTCACTTCTAGTCAGTCAGGGCTGTTGCCAGAGACGACCCTGCTACCATCAGAAGCAGTCCAAACTGCTGCTTCAGGGCCACATGTGGACCTTGGGTGCTTTCTTCACATAAACACGCAGATGTAGTCCGTGAAACAAAATGCTAAGGCCCACCTGAGCACACACACACACACACATACACTGTGTACTACTTGTTGCTATGCCGCTGTCGTCAATAAGGCATTCAACAACTACGTTTGAGCTATTTTGAGCCACACAACTGATCTGTGTCACTCATGGTGACAAAGCAACAACAAGGTCTCAATTTTGCATTGATGCACTCCTCTCAATTCTTTTTTCATCTTTCTTTTATTTACGCAACAAGCCTATTTTGTGGGTGAAAACTGGAAACAGTGGATTACATCAATACAGTCAAATTCAAGGGAGAGGGACAGAGTCCTCTAATGACTTAGTGTTATGAGGAATTTCTTCGCAAATGCTCCGACTAACTTTCATAAAAATCAGCTTGGTCGTTAGAAACGTACGGTGTTATTCACAACATAATCTCCTGCTGGTAATAATCATGTGCAGGGAATTGATTCTGATGTACGGTACATGCTTTAAGCACTCGTGAAATTTTATTATAAACTGGATAAGAATGGGATACAGCGGTGCCAGGAAAGGACTCTCGAGAGAAAGTTAATCAAGAAGCAGAACTGGAACAAAGATATTCTGACATTTAGTCCTGAGTGAGTGACTCCCAAAACACTAGGAAATAAGATAGAAGATACTGCGCAATTATAGACAGGCTGAGTAAAACCTCGCTTCACTAATAAACTGATATTGCATAATCAGTGGCGTGTAACTTCTTTTTTAATCTTTCCAGTTTGCCTACAGCCATGTCCTTTCAGCGAGGCTTTTGGGTAGTTAGATTCTGGATGCAAGAACAAGCACAGTTTCACATAACTGGGTTGCGCTCCTGAAATGATGATCAGGATCAGGATGATTGTTAAATGATGCAACAGCAGTTTTGCTCCTGGATCTTCCTCACTGTGAAATCTGAGGACCATAAGAGGCTGATGGAAGGCAGAAATGCATCTTGGGATTTAAGACATGTCAAAACAGTGCCCTCTCTTGGTGGACCTGAGCATGGCATTTTCAGAGGTAATAACTTGCAGGTCTTTATGTTAAGAAAGTATTTTTTTTTTAATTAAAAACATGATATTATAGGCAAGTACATTTAGAGAATGAAGGACTGCATGATGTGCTAGAAAGTACTGTTTGTCCTTAAAGACATGACTCACACCCAAACTGCCACACAATATCACTGCTGTGTGTGTCTTTTGAGATACATCCTACCTTTGAGGTTTCCATATCAGTTTCTTCCACTTCTTTTGCTTGGCCTATCAGTAAAGGTAGAGAAGAGTAAATGAGAAGAATATTTATAATATGATCCTCTGGATGGTTGAACTAAATGCAACCTTTTATGTGTTGTGGTTTCTGTAGATGGGCAAGATGACCTTTTCACGAGTAACAAAGCAGATCTTGGTCTCAAGACGGCCAAGAAACTCACTCTCAGCTATTTCACTGTGGTTACTTGTGAGCACTTGGACTCAAATTTCAAGGCCTAAGGGACTTAATATGTCCTGATATCAGCTGCTAAACATCCAATTTAGGGAATTTAAAATAACTTCAGGGAAATAATTATCTCCTGCTGAATTTCTAATTTTTCTAATTTTTATGGTTTTTCATTTTAATGGAGACAGAACATCAACCAACCAGTCAGAAGAAGAACACCATTACATAAAAGTTAGGCATTAATTTTCATGTCATTGAGTGAAATAAGTATTTGATGTCCTACAAGAAAGCTGGAAATCTGGCTTCCATTACAATCAATCAGTCAATTACTCAACAACAGATGCTTCTGATCTCATCTACTGCAGCGGTCCCCAACCTTTTTTGTGCCACGGAACATTTTAATGACCAAGACAAAAACTGTGGTATCTTGCAAATATAATAATAAACGTGAATTCACTGTGTAATTGTGTAACTTTATTAGCAGCGTGCTCTTGAAAATGCGCCAACAAAATTGAGAGTAACATCCTCCTCTCTGCCCTTTAATGCTCTCTGGTTGCTATGGTAACGTGTAAATATTTCTTTCAAAATAAGACAACTACAACACGGGAAAAGACGCAGGGAAACCAAGTTAACGATAAAAACCCTGAAAACCATAATTTTCACATCCAAGGCTCAACGACTCACGGACTGGCACAGGGGTTGGGGACCGCTGATCTACTGTATTTAAGCACACCTGCTCACAAAATCCGCTTCTTCCATTCTCAGATTTTTCTGTCAAAGGACGTCAGGGACAAGACCTTAGACCTGCAAAAGAAGGTTGAATGGGCTACAAGACCATCAGCAAGAAGTGCTGTTTGGGAGATTATTCGGAAATGAAAAGAAATTGAATCTGGAGCTTCATGGAAGATCGTGCCTCGTAGGCTGAGTATAACCATGAGAAAAGTGGTGGATTAGCCCAAAACCACACAAGAAGAGCTTGTTAATAATCTAAAGTGAGTTGGGACTACCCATATGGAAAAGATATATATATAAATCTTATAAAGTTTTTATTGTTCTTGTATAAAACTTGTATGAAAAGAATACAAGAGTGAAAACACATATAAGATCCCTTGAAAAATTATACAATGAAACTTGTATGTTTTGTATACTTACTAAAAAAATATATGAAAGTAAAGAGAAAGTGGCCACTTTCATGAGTAAATCATATATGTTTTTACTATTTCTTTTCCATATGGGTACAGTCACCAAGAACACTGGTAACACACACACAACATAATGGACTGAAATCTTGCAGGTCCCTGTGCTTAAGAAGGCACATGTACAGCCCAGTCTTCAGTTTGACTGCAAACATCTAAATGATTCAGAGAAGGCTCGAAAGAAAGCGCACAAATACTTATGTCACTCAAATGGCAAATTAATTCATAACTTTCATGTGATGTATTTTTTTTCTGGATTTTTGGTTAATATTCTGTCTATTTCCAATAAAATCAGCATATAATAAAAATTTGCGAATGCTCATTTATTTACATATACATTTTAATCTGCATTAAATAAATAAATCAATATATTACTGGGTAGTTTGCTAACTCAACTGCTGCCAGTGACTCAAGACAGTGTATGCATGAATTATGGTGATCAGAGGCTCTCAATCACTCCTCCATCTATGTAGCAAATACATAATACAAATGTATTATGCTGCAATACATTTGCCTCCTGAGTCAGGGCTATGGCTTCCCACTGTTTTTGCCCATGACTGAGCTTCCCAGCAGCTTCCTTCAGCTGTGCAACACTTTGTACAGACCCAATGCCCGTCAGTGAGGTAATCAAATTTGATACTTTTTCACCAAGAGAAATTGATTAACTGGAGCAATACCGGCAGATACAGAATAGAGGTTATTTAGCTAATGCTTCGGTATAATGCAGCTTACCTTGAGTCAAATAAATGCACAGTGTCAAATTCTTTCAGCGGGTTTTTTGGTACTTTTTCAGAGGTGCGGGGCACAGGAAAAAGGAACCCCTTAGCAAGAATAATCAAGACTGACTTTGGAACAGCTAGAGGAAAAATCAATCACGCCTCTGATGGAGGAAGGCAATTTATTGAAGACAGATTACACCACTTGATTTATAAAACCTGAAAAGCAGGCTTCCAGTAAAAGCGGCTATGTAAGAAAAGCAAACTTCTGCAGAGAATTTAATCTAAGATCTTTGGAGTTTACATCTCTAAACAGCTAAACCCCTGGAGCTTGAGTTTGAGATACTCAACAGAGCTGCTAAAACTATCTGTTTTGTCAGTTGAATGATCATTTTAGTGTTTTTGAATGAAAACTGTAAACATTTAAATAGACAAAGCTTCAAAATGTCACCCACCCTAGGCTCAATGAAGCCATTTTTTTGAAAGTGTCAACAAATAACTGATAGATTATAGAATGTTATCAATAGACTACTCACGAATTATGTAATTGTTACTTTTATAATGATTTGAAACAACTGTGCTGCTGGCTCTCCATCTACAACATATACAGCATATCTGCAGAAAAAAATGAATGCAATGTTGGTGTGCAGGGGCAGTGATATATTCATCAGTGGGACTGATTTGCTGATGAGTATAAGTGAATCACACAGTGAGTCAAAAGAGGCCCTGTGATTAGTCAGCATCAAGGTCCCACTGAATGCAAACACATGGCCCACTCAAACAGATACACTATGTTCTGTAAGTTGATGTGAAAACCTCAAACCTGGATGTACAGGGGTGACTGCAGTCTGTGCTGCCTGTCTGCTTATCCTTACCTACATACAATACTTTGAGTGCCCCAGTTTACTATATTGAGATGTAATAAACCATAGATCCAATTCTCCTGCAAACCAATGCCTCGGTAATAAGACTGTATAGGTGGACTTAAAGAAATCATAACTGGATTGCGGTCAATAAAAAACCTGTCTTGAAAGTGATTCATGAAAGACAAAGACAGGTCTATACTTAGTTTTTATGCCATTAGGCGGCATATGTGCATGGCATATCTCCTTGTGTAACTCTACAGTGAGGCAGATGTCCACCCAGCATGAAAACAAGACCTTTCGCGAAAGCAGTAAGCGGGTTTGCCAGTGACAGTTAGATTGTCTTTAGACAGGAGGACTTAATGAATCACCTTCAGTGTGACAACTGGCTCAAAATACAGGTTGGAGGGGAAAAAACCCCTCTTACTTATAAAGGTTTAGAGATGTTTTTAAAGAAGCTTTAAAAGAGCTCTAGAATTTCTTTTTAGGTCCGTTTTGCATGTCACTATCTTCAGCAGCTAAAAATGATATTTGAGCCTCACAGTCATTGCTAAAAGATTTGAATTTTCCTATACAGTGCATCAAACTGTATCTCTAACCAGTGCCGAGATATCCAAACATATTAACTCATAGAACTCACATTTTAGGAGGAAAATATGAAAAGCCACACATTTTAACTCTATTTCCAACGTATGAGTGGTTAGGAACAACAGTACCTCATTAAGCTTTAGCGTTTTAATTTACAACTACATGTAATTGAAATGAATTATAATTTTGGTAGAACTTTGATCTTCGACAAGTTAATGTGATTCAATGTTTATTTATATATCATATATATAAGTAAAAAAACGTTCATGCCAAAGTATATGACAGGGAAGAAAAATGAAATGCATGTGCAACTGGTATGCCATTTAGTTTTCATAAAAATTCCTGAAATGTAATTAAAAAAAAAAAGATATTTGTGAATGTATATTAGTGGAGACACTTAAATATTTACAGTGTGCATATTGCAAGCTTTCAACTATCCCAGCATATTAATAAATTGCAGCTTAGTTCATATCATAATATTTAACTGTTAACAAATTGCTTTTTAAAATTTGAATATTCTTAAAATACCATTTTGATACATATCCTGTGACATGAAATGTGACTGAAAATATTTAACTGCAACAATGAATGAATCCAAAATAATGCTTCAAAAAGACCTCTTTTTCCCACTTCACTTGATCTTTAATGTTTATCTATTGGTGATTCATTTAGTAGCTAAGGGACAGTTATGTAAAGGTAGTGCAGTAATACCTGCCAGGAGTATTTATCACAGGATGGTAACCTAAAACAGCCCTAGGACTGTCCTGCATCCGTGTCGACAGGCGAAGTATAGCTAACCAAATTGCCCTTAATGGATCTGGGCAGCAAAGATCACAGCCGAGATTTAGAAGCCGGCTGGAAAATCCTCTCTGCTGTGCGTGTGCGTGAGAGGCCGACTGTACAGGCACATTGTGATTTATTCTGCAAAACCCCTGTAGCCATTCATCAGTGTTAGGGAAAATGAAATGTGTTTATTAATCACTCTGACACTTTCTCCCAATTAAATATAAAGGATAAACCTGACCAAAAGTTGTTGTTTAATGGTGATTTTAACCCAAGCCCCACCCTACAAAAGACATGGAAAACAGTGTAGTCCCTGCAGCAGCACATTGTGTAATCATATGAACTAAACTTATATTTATGAATCTACATGTATAACAATGTTTCATAATGTACAATGTCTAAAAATGCATAACCTTATATTAGTGTACAGCTGCAAGACATTCATAAAAATATTTAAATAATAAAGCAACTTAGAAGAACAAAAAAAGCTAAAGCAATTGACATTTAAAAACCTGCTTTGGACAGTTTTTCAGCAAAGGTCAAACAGAAAAGGGTACAGCAGGGAAATAATGTCAGGGCCATCTTGGTCATGTGAATTGGTCAGTGAGGCTACATTAGCACTACATTATTACTTAATTCTGTAGACAATAAATAGCTAAATGAGCACATCTGGATTAAGGAGAACATACGTAGGTAGCTATCCATGTATTTTATACACACACACACACACACACACACACACATATATATATATACACACACATACACATGCATCTAGATACAGTTAGTCAGCCCGTTTGACACTTCATAACACCTTTTTATGCTAACACATTTTATACTTTATACTAATGCTATAAACTATTTTACGGTTTAGGATTAAGAATAGAGGTTGTTGCACTTTAACTCCAGGGCTGAAAACATTCTGCAACTGCACACCGGTAACAGAAATGAGAGCTGACCTTATGTTTGTGCATGGTGAACAGGCAGACACCATCCTGGCCTCTCTCCTGGCTCTCATGGCCTCTCTTCCCTTGTTCCGTTGTCAAAGTGTCACTTATCCAACATGTTTTGTCATCATCACCAAATGTCGAAATCCCCGTCGTCCTTATCTTTCAAGCAGCACATCCAGTGTCAGTCAAATGAGACATAATGTCTCCGATGCAAGCAAACCAAAGTGATACAGACACTTGTAAAGCTAAAATGCTTGTTCGGAAGCCGCAGGATGTCCAGGCTGACTAAATGCTTATATCTTGACAGAAACTGAACCAGCTGCTCATTATTCCAGCTATTGTCAAATCACTGCCTTCCTTCCTATACATAACAATAATAATAATAATAATAAAAAGAAAACACACACTGAGCTTGTGTTTTCAGTCTAAGTGGCTCTCACAGTCGCTTTCTACTGTATCACCTCACATCTGCTTGCAGAGCCATGGATGAGCAGTTGTACGCGGGAGGATGGATCAAGGATGTGAGCGCACTGATTGGCTGCCTGGTCATGGTGTGTGTGTGTGGGTAGGTCCCTTTGGTAGGCTCCCTGCGAACGGTTATGCTCGACGAGGGTGGTCCTTCACCTCTTTTCCTCTTGTCGTTGCTTTATCAGCCCCCCATCCTGTTCTGCTTCCCTCTGTCTCCGTGTCTGCACTAAAAGCTGCAGTTACGCTTTCCTGTTCCTCAGCCACCGCATCACAGCATGCTTGTGAGGACGCCACATCAGTGCTTCAGTGAATGCATGCGCACAGATACTGAATGAATATGGAGAAGAAACAGCAGCTGCGTCATGCATTCATTTCCTCTTTCCAGACGTAATGGCTCTAGCAAGTGCTCACTGAAAATTTATTATATAAATAAATAAATAAATAATTAAAAAACAATAAAAAAAGTCTCCTCTGAGGTCACAGCCTGAGCTAGACGTGGAGTAAGGCAGGAATCAGCTGTAGGTGGTTCAACACTGGATGTTATAAACAAATATATATTTTTTGGTCAATAAAAAATGTAATGGTCATGAAATACCTGGTAAAAATGGCATCCATAGTTTTTAGCTCATTTTTATTTATGTATTTATTGTTTTTAAATTAAAAATCTCATCATATGTTACGTGAATTCTTGCCTGTATAGTGAAAGTCACCCACAGCCAGACTAGTGTGTTTTCAAATATGTTGAATCTTTGCTTTTCTGGGCCCATCTCACAAAGTAAAGGGCAAGATCAGATTATGCTGACCTCCATCACTGGAAGCTAATGTCTCTAACCACAGACATTGATCGATAATCCAGCATTTGAGAAGGCAGAAAAGCAATGCAGGCATTAGAGCAAAGGCAGAGAGGATAAGGCAGGACTGTTTGGAAGAATCTCAGAAGCATAAATATCACAGCTAATATAAGGGGTGTCCATTATTAGCCAACCAAATCTTAGTTGATGAGGAGCCTCTTTATGGACCACGTTTTGATTGGTAGTTGGCTGCAGCATAAAAACAACAACAACACAACAAAGAAACACAACTAAAGTCAGTCAGTCATTCAGAGGCAAATGTTTTCATTTATATGGCTGGTGCCTGTGATTATTAGATTAGTTATTATCCAATGAGCTGGGCAGAACTCAAACAATGTTAATAATGTTAATGTATGTAGCATAAACCTAGCCAGCATGTATGGCAACGTGCTTTAACACAGGATAACGCAGACATTATCACATTTATAATAATTATAGGTTGTGCTCATTATTAGGCTTTTGTATTTCTTTCTCACTTGAAAAACAATGGAACGTTCCGAACCATTTTTCCGAATTTCCTGGAAAATGTATATGTAGATAATTGCTGAGTAACCCCATTAAATTTTCCATGCAAAGAATGCATCAGAGCTTCTTTCTCCTCATCAAAACTGAAAGGTTTCTAATTACACTTGCATTACATTTTACCTAACCAAAGGGCTTTTTGCATGCATTATTTACAGGTGCTCCTATAAATAAGTATTGATCTTAAGCAGTCTGTCTCACTACTTAGGAAATACTGGAAGCCCTGTTACAAGGTCTACGGAGATAGATTTAGGTCCTGTTGGCTGTGGGATGGGCCTCACGGATTGGTCTTTTCACACTGTACCCCACATAGGGATGGGTATCGTTTAGGTTTTATCTGATACCAGTACCAAACCGGTACTTTGAAACGGTGCTGGTGCTTAAACGGTGCTCGAACCGGTGCTTAAAGAATCAAGAACACAAACTTTGTCCAAAAACCTCTCATGTTCAGCTGTTTTTTTGTAAAAAGATAACAATGTTAGCCTTTTCTGCAGCTATAGGGAATTTATGGCATCACTCTTGGCTGGAAGCAGTGCTTAAACAATGGAAAACACAAACTTTGTCCAAAAACCTCTCATGTTTGGCTGTTTTCCACTTTTTCTTTGGTCATTTTAGCCTTTTTGGCCAGGGTGAAGGGAGTATCTGCCATCCAACAAGAAGACATGTAACTACGACGGTGTTTGCTAGTTCACCTTACATGCATTAATTTAATAATGTGGTTAGCCTACTCAACGTAAATTACACACGAACAACATTAAGCTACTCACGCAGAGAAGAACGGCTGCTGCTGCCATCATCATCCATCATCATTTCTGCTACACTGGCAGGGCTAGGGGCCACGACTCTACTCTTCGGGTTTTTGGGGGATGTTGCGACCGATAACAGGCAACCCACCCACAGTAGATGTGCACGCACGGTGTGAGGTCTCGCAGCAAGCTATCGAATACGCCGCATTTCTTGGCTTTTAACAAAATGCTATACGTTGCCAGGTGTTTCATCAGATTCGAGGAGTTACCTCCTTTGCACAGTATCAGCTTAAAGCACTTGTTGCAGGCTGCTGAGTTTGCATCTTTTGCTATGAAGTACAGCCAGACTTTGACCGCTTCGCCTTGGGCATTTTTAATCTGTAGCTCTGCTCTAAAAGAATGTACGTACCTGAGCCCGCCTACTACGCTCGCAAAGGTAAAATGATTGGCTGGAATCCAAAGTGCATGACATCTCAGGAAAAAAAGCACCGAAATAAAACACCGAAATGTGCGCTGCTTTTCGGTCTGGTTACTACCGTTTATGTCAGAACTGGTACCCATCCCTAACCCCACACATGCTTGATTGGATTTAGGGAGTTTGGCGACTGGGTCAACACCTTGAGCTCTTTGCTCAGAGTAGTTTCTGCTGTGTGGGGAAACACATTTTGCAGAGGGACGTCAGCTTCAGCAACATTAATAAAAATGCAAGGACTTAAGACTTCTCATCAAAACATTGCACTGTAATAGTACGATCAGCATTTTTTAATTCCCCCTCCTCCCTTATTTTTTTTTAAATGTATGACTGGTGTTAGTACATCTTGTTTTTTTAACAACTAATCTCACTAATCATTAAAAATTTTACTGCTAATGTTTAATTATATTCTATCATATGCACTCATAACCATTCAGTTCTGTGTTTTCCTCTCAATAGGCAGTTATCCACCTCTGTTGTTCTGCCATCCTACCCGAAGCAGAATGTATGAATCATTCTAAAAATGCAGAGGTGTTTAAGTGAAGATGGCAATCAAACAAAATGCAACAAAAGCAGCATCTCTTGGACTAATAGTTAACACTCACTATTACAAAATACACCCACTGTCATTCAGAAGGTTTGCCCACCATATACAACATGCAGCTGAGCCACCTGTGTATCCAAAATAAATTTCAGACATTCTCAGAGTCCCTTGTCCTCACAAATTCAACAAGCATTAACTAGGAAGAAAAGGAAAATCAACATCTAATTACCATCAATTTTCCCACAAAAGGCACGGCTCCTGGCTTGAAAGGCATTGCACTAAATGCCGGAGTACAGAGACTCCTAGTGGTTTAAACCTGGACTGGCCTACTTGTCACCAAACTCGCATGACTGACCACTCAAAGCATACCAAAGCAGACACACGCATACCAGATTGCACACACACAAACACAGAATAATAACAGTGTTCATTCAGCTCAGAAAATGTGCTGCACAAACATCATTTCTCCTGAATGATCGCTGCGAGCATCAAACACAGGCACACATCAAAAAGCAAAGCGCTTACATGGTTATGGCCTCATAACAAACTGCCAGTATCACTTTCTACATAAAATAAAACCTGCTCAACACCATGTCTGAAAGTTAGTACAGTATATCTATTACTGGGTTGACTACACTCTGACTCAACATTGGAGAGCAGTCCTAAAGTCAGAAACGTAGAAACAGCAACTTATATAATTTCCCGTCATGCTGCCGGTCAAAGACTTGCTTGTAGCCAATCACACTCACCTTTCCAGTGTACGCCTTGGACCTTTTTGCTTCAGGTCCAGCACAGTCTCTCTTGCACAGCCTTCACACCCCAAAGAGCAAAGTGTCTGTGCCCACAGTGTGAGTGCACAGTGCTGACCTGCCACCGGCTGGGTAGCTAAAGGACTACAATCTCCACAACAGTGCCCAACCTACAAAGCCCTGTTTGTGTCTAATGTTGTTTGTCCAATAAAAGATAACAATGGCATTCCATGGCTTGCAACTGTATTCACTGCTGGCCTCTCCAAATGTAAAGCGTATTCAGACACCTTGGTTGGTGGACAAAGGCGTGAATCTGTGTCACATGAGGGGTGGGTGGGGCCAGGGCAGATGGGGTGACAGTAAGGCTGGTCACGGTGGATAAGCTCACCAGCATACGATGCATGCCACCACCTCTACGGGGACGATGAGGAAGTAGACTCACCTGATTTTGTCCGCTGCACTGTCAGACCTGCACGGGGGAAAAAAGCACATTCAGTCATAGCGTACTGCAGACACGGCTTGTATCTAACAGCTGAAACACTCTGCATCATATTATGTGGTTGTGACATCAAAAAAACACTTTCTTTTTCTTCTTAATAACTATAACTCCTCACTTTAGAACAACTCATGTAAAGAATCTATTGCATTCATTATATATTCATATAGTTTTACAAACTCACTAACTATAATTTACCTGAGACGCATGAGGTGAGGCGCATGTCCACAACTGCTTGTTAACAGAATGGTCTAATCAGCCAATCACTTGGAAGCAATTATATTTAGGGATGTAGGCACTGGTCAGATGACGTGCCAACGTTCAAACTGAGCATCAGGATGGGAAGAAACTTTGAGTGTGGCACGGTGATTGATGCCAAACAGAGTGGTCTCAGTATTTCAGAAACTGCGTCCCTACTGGGATTTCCCCGGAAAAATGATTGGTCGGACTACTTTGAACTATCAGGAAAGCAACAGTAGCTCAAATAACCACCCAAACAAGAAAGGAATTAGAAGCAGGAATCACCAGACACTGAGGAGCCTTCCTCTTCTACAGTAATAAAACCAGAATACAACCTGCTTGAAACCAAGTTGTCCCGTTAAGTTGACAAAGACTCATTCAGACTGATGGCAGCATGTTGGCAATCTGTCTGCATTTACAAATTAAGTACAATTATTTACAAACCTTCAACAATCAGAGGGTGACTGCAGTCAGTCCAAATCAGACTGCAACTGTTTGCAGAAAGGTTGCCTCCTATCAGGCGACCTGTGCAACCACCTTGCATTCAAAAATGGTATTGACTGTGCAAGACCCACAATCTCTGGGCAGCTACTGGCTGTGAATGTGAAAAAACTTATTCAGGATAATGATTTACTAATGTGTACAATTTGATATCATTATGTAAGAATGAAAACACACAGTGCATATTAATTCAATATTTGAGCATTTATAATCTAGTTATAGATATCTGGAGGGGACGAGCTTCCCCAGTGTATGATTAAATAAAGTCCATCTCTGTCTGCTTGCTGCATTGTAGTGCTTCATATGGTGGTGGAAATATAGCTGCGGATATATTACTTAAACCTTCTGAGAAGGGAGGGGCTTTAAAGCTAAGTGTCACATGACAGCCTGGCAATTTCACTGTAGTTACATAAACGTATTCTCTATTCTGCAAATTGATCCGGCATGTCTCACAATGCACAAATTTTCATTCACAACTCACAATCATGTGCTGCATCATCTTCACCGATGAGTCATATTACACTCACTTAGCAAAGTCACATTGTGATATTACATAACACTATCTGCAGTTAAAGTGGAGGAGTTGAGCAGAAGCGTCAGAGGCAACGAAACCAAAAACATGACAATGACAGGGAATGAGCAAACTTGTCTTCACGTCCTTCCCAAAAACCTCCACAGATGCCCTGATAATCTGGCTGAGGCAGCTAAACGTTCACATACTGTGTTAGCCTGCTGCCACTTCACCAGAAAATGCAGCTGCGCACATCATACACCGAGCAAAAACTGCAGCACACCAGGCAGACAGACAAACGCAGAGAGAGCAAAAAACACAAGCGTGACTGGCATGGAGATGACGACACGGGCGAAGTTTGCGAGAAGGCAGCCGCCGGGCAGAAATCCAGCTGTTTTTACCTGCAGAGGAGACATGACATTCCGTGCCCTCTAAAGCCGGCTACAGAACGCTGCTCTCCCTGCAGCTGCTGCAGACAAACCTCACTAGCTATCACCAGTGCAGCAAAGAAAAGAGCGGCAAAAAATCCCATAGGTTTCACAGGTGCTGTTCCTGATTTGAGTAAGAGGAGACACTGAGCGAGGAGAGTGCGCGGGAGGGAGAGCAGGACAGAGAGAAACAGTGGAGGTGTAGTGCACAGCTCTGGTAGACTGAGCTAAAAGCAAAGACAACTAAGTGGGTGGTTATTCAGAGGCTAGACGGAGGGGATTCTTGCAAATTTTCTCTTCAGGTTGTCCTACTTTTGCATCATGCTTGACTGAATCTTAGCTCTGCACGTGAACAATATGAGCAGCAGTTTATTTGCTCTAAAGCAACAAACTATTTATTTTAACCAGATTCTACTCTGTTTTTGGCACACCACATAACATTATGAGCATGAAATTAGCCAGTTAAGAAGAATAATTATTGACACAGTCTTGTGTTTTTTTACCTGCAGGTTGTCATTATCTGGTGTGATTTTAAGAACCACCCTTGGATTGAAAGACTTATAAATTTGGTGTGCAGGTTTTCTTATGCAAAAATCTGTTTAATTTTTGCAGCGATCTAACAAAGTTCCTTTTCCTCATCTTTTTAAAAAATATTATTTTAATATTTATAGCAGATGAACAGCTAAAGTTCCCATATGGAAAAGAAATAGTAA